GCAGGTGCAAGAACTTAACAATTTTAGAGCATTCCATCAAAATGTCTATTGCCCAAGTAGGCCCACAAGAAGTGCTCTAGAAATGCTGGTTATGATTTTTTGCTGCACTCCCTCTGAGAAAATGATGTGACCTGCAGAGATGGAAGTAAATACAGCAAAGGAGTCTCCCTGCAAGAGGAAGCTAGGAAATTTGATGGTGGTATTTTGGGATAGGATTCCTAAGAAAACTTGGGACAAAATCCTGTGTGCATTTGCTCAATCCTTAGGAATCTCAGCTTGACCAGCTGACTCCAGAGAGCTAGAGCCTCACAGCACAAGCCCCAGATTCATAATTCTAAGAATAGCCATTTAATGTGCACTTTAGTGGCTCCTAGGGCACTGTTTTATTATGCATAAACAAATTTTAGCCATCAGAAGGAAATCTAAAATCTATAGAAACAAGATTTCAGCCTAAAGAGCTTTCTGGGGAATAAAGTGTCTACTATAAGGAGTTGTTTTTTTATCCCAGTAATTACCCTCCAACTTCTCATCCTGAAAAGAAACTTGAATACTCTATGGCAAAAGGCAAGTGACTTGAAGAGTAAATACCAAACATTTATACAGGTGTAGTCAGTGAACAGGGATTTACAAATGCCAAATAAAACACAAAATGTGCATATGAAGCCGGTGTCAGCAGGGGTCTGTGATATGCTCGGGCAGTCCCAGCCACTTGGGAGGCTGAGGCAAGAGGATCCCTTGAGCCCAGGAGTTCAAGGCTATATAGTGAACTATGATGTGCCTGTGAACAGCCACTGCACTCCAGCCTGGGTGACATATTGAGACTTCATCTAAAATAAATAAGCCACCAATGTCATCAGCTCAAAATAAATAAGACTGGCCTTCTGGAAAGGGTTTGGAAATACAGCGATTGCTTCTTAACTTATTAAAATGTTGGGGTGGCTCTCAAATGTGAGGGGGAAAAAAGGTATACCTTGGGTCCTTCTTAGTAGTATATCTGAGGTTACCAACAAAAGAGGCATATGTTTTGAACAGAGAAGAGCCAAGATAAGAATTGGTCACTGAGTTTCCAGGGCAATCTAAGGGTGGAAGTCCCTGAATCTGTTTATATAATTTTAGCAGGTGCTTTTGGTAAGGCTGTTTGAGAAGCAGTTACAGTGTGAAAGTAATATAGTGAACAAATTGGATGACCTTGGGCTATTCATTGAGTCTCTATGTAGAATCAAGGTTAAGAGCCTCCCGACAAACCAACAGACCCTTTGTTCACTGCTGTACCTCCAGTGCATGGCACTGTGGGTGTTGAGTGAAAGAACCTAGGTTTGAAACTTCATTCACCACTTACTAACAGCATAACCTCAGGGAAATTACCCATCATTGAACTTCTGTTTTATTTATAAAATGGAGATAATAAGTATATCATACAATTGTGAATTTAAAGGAGATAGACATGAAGCATTTAGTAAAAATATCCATAATTATCTATTATATACTAATTCCTCATGTTTATTTTAAAAAGAAAATCAGGGCATTTCAGTTTTGTCCAAGACAATTTCTATGCTCTGTACCCAGCTAACCATGCTCTCCAAGATCTGCTTCTCCAACCACAGGGTAAGTCCCCAAGAGCCCCATTTGTATAGACGATCCTGCTCCATGGGTGTGATTGGCTCTGTCTGCTATGTGTCTGGAACACCTGGAGCTATGGGATAACTGGCAGGAAAAGCAGAAGCTGTTAATGAGAATGATGTGGATGTACAGATGGCAGACAATACCAGTTGAGGGGGGCCAAAAAGGGCTTTCCAGTTCCCAGGTCCAATCTCATCCTGCCTTTGGGAGGCTATAAGACAGTTCTGTATCCCTGTTTTTTTTGCCTAAGTTAGCACCAGTGTGCTTGTTATTTATAACTAGGCTTGCTTCCCCATTTTCTGTGATCTTCACAATATTCCTACAAAACAAATATAGCATAATAGAATGAACATAAGGAATCAGACGAGCATGACCCTGCTATACACACTGAATGTCAAACTTTTAAGAGAATTAATAGTCTCAGACTGTTTCCTCTTTTTTAAAATAGGATTGCAATGCCTACTTTGTTTTAGGGCTGCTTAGAAAGAAGATACAGGTAAGTAAGATACCTGGCAAGAAGCACTCAACAAATTATCATTCCTATTAGTATCCCTATTTCACAAAAGGGAAAACCATGGCTCAGAAATATCAATATTCTACCTACTATATACCACAATGGGAATAAAAACAGGAAAATCCACTGTCTTAACACACAAGATTATCAAAAGAATGAAAACTCAAAGTGAGAAATTTGTGAACTTAAATTCTAAGTGATTAAGTGGAATTGTGCATTACTTGATGCAAAGAGCTTAATGACAGTTTTACTTATCACCACTCAACTTCTTTTGTTCACTCTAATTTACTTTCCCAAGGTAGATTTTTCCTCTTTGGGAAGAAAATGTACTGCCAGTTGACACAAATATTCTACTCTGCTTGTCAGTTCTATTTCTAGGTAAGGTTTTGTGAATTATTTTTCCAAGGTAGACCACTTACCAGAAAACTGGCAAAAGTAACAAAAAAATTAGGCACTGCACACCAGACCCTTAGAAGGTACCATTCCACAAAGCCCACTCAGCTAAGACCTACAGTGAGGACTAAGGCTGAGCCTGTGAATTTGCCTTGAAGTCTTTTGCCCCTTATGACCTAGAGTTGTTCACATATACTCACTTTTTGCAACTACAGAATTCAGTCTAGACGGAGACTCTCAACTTTGTCTGCACATTAGAATCATTGCAGTTAAGGGTAGGGATGGGGAAAGGGCTCAAAGCAATGAAGCCATAATCTCTGTGAGACTCAGGCATTAGTATTTTTAAAATCTTCTCAGTGATTCCAATGCACAGACAAGGTTGAGAACCACTGGTCTAGATAACGTCGGAGGAACAGGACAGTGGCAGTAAGTTGCAACCCAAGACTAATAAAGCTGGAAAATGATAGCCTAGGGCAATTTTTCTTTGGCCCACATTTAGAAATATTGTAAAGTGCCAACATTTCAAAATTATGAGATTTCACATTAAGTCTGGATTGCACAGGCTCCTCTCAAAGCCCACCTAGCCCAGGGTAGTCCATTCCTAAAATATTTCTCTGGCTCTTGCAGACATCTGAGTTTGAGACTCATGGATGACTTGAGACCCCTGAATTACTATGGTAATAAGGTTGTGCTTTTGGCACTGCTACAGCTGCTACATATCAACATGTGATTGTTTTGCAAACTAATTAGTTCCTGCTCTGAAAACGGCCCTAAACCAGCGTATCATAGCCAGAAAACTGCTTTTCACAAGAATCCTGTATTATTTTTCGCACCCTGAATGTTACTACCTCAAGAAAGATCAACAACAGTTGCCTTAAAATTTGGATTTAATTCCACAAAAAGCATAAAATGAAAACCTCAAAGTTGTCATACTCTGTCTACTCCAATAGTAGGCACTACTTGATTTCCAATTGAGCATTTCTGAGTTGGCTATTTCATCTTAGGTAATTAAGTGGAGAAGTAAATCCCTTAAAATAAACCAGATATATACCAACATTATCCCCAAAGATATGTGAGAAGTCTGAGGGGCCCGTATATTTTCTTGTTTCTGAAAGAGTCACAATTTTCCCATAATGCTCACTGCTTGTTATCTTAAAGCCCCAAGGTCACCCAGTTCCAAGGATAAATGCTGAGCTCAAACGGATATTGGCTGTTTGTGTATTCTTGGTTATTAGTTATAAAACAAATCCTCTAACAAGTTCCAGTAAACTAACCAAAACTCTTTACATTTAAAATTCATTTTTGAATGAATAAATGACTAACAACTGCAAATTACTTGAGCACTACTTATCAAATCATGCTAAACCATTTATTCTCAACTATCACATGTGATAGTCTCCTCGTGAGGAATCTGCAAGCTAGGAAGAGCTACTCCTATCAATGGCTGTCTTCTAGCAATTACGCAAAACACAGGACCTCATCATTGCGAACTATAACAAATTAAAGATCAGAGACAGTATACAGCAACCCTCCAACAGCAGTAGCCATAGGCATTCATACAGTTTTTGATATGGTTTAAAAATCCAATATATGGGATCCTTTTGTAGTTTATAAACGTGATGATTGGGTTTTCATGCTCACATGAGATATGCCTCCCTCTAACGTTGTTACAAGATCTGCGATGTCAGCACATTACCCATCTGATTTTTTTTTAAGTACAATAAATGACTGCTTCTCTGATACTGAATGGGTCATTCTGAGACCAAGATAAGAAAATATGATACTAAGAGGTAGTACAATGTGGTCTGAGTCCCAGATAGAAGGAATTGTGATATCTTGGGCAAGTTACTTAACCTCCTTGAGCCTTATTTTCCTCCTTTGTAAAACAATTTCTACTCCACTTGTTTCACACAGTAACATAAGTAAAGTGCTTTGAAGATGAAAGTGATAAATGAACTCTCATAATTATAGATCCAAAAAAGATAATTAAGTTGTCCTAAAATCTGGACTTATAGCTAGAATCTCAATGACAGGTATCTGACTTTGGAACCTTCTGTAAGACAACTCTTCCTTCATCCCCATGGGAGACATCGCTGTAAAAGTAAGCTAAATGGAAGCAATGTGAGGGAGTTTCGAGGTTAACTGAGATGACTTATTAAAGTATTTTATCTTCAAAAAATTGACATTCAAAGATCTTCTGGGTATCTAATATGTATCACTGTTATAACACAAACAGCAATCTAAATTTAATGTTTGAGACATAGAAATTAGAAAGTTTTCAGAAATTGCTCTGAAGGCATTATTAACCAAATTAAGTGTGGGGGGATGGTCTCATTCACAGTTCCTTGCAAAGAAACTGAACCAAATCTTGACATTTTATATTAAGTAGGAACAGTGAATAAGGCACATAATACAGGTGGCTGTTAGCCACCTAGTCATTTTTTTAACTATAAAAATAAACATAAGTAACTAATGGAATAACAAAATAAAAGTTTATTTTATTAGAATTAGGAATGTTCTTTCCCTCTGGGCAACCTGAACAGTCCAGTTACAATGAAAATCTAAGAACAGTTATTTCCACAGCACAGGGTGCTCTATGCACAAAATTACAGGGTTAGGAGCATTTAATCAATTTACCAATTTGATTGTCTCACCAACCCACCCCATCCCATCCCCCAAGTGCTCTATACCGGGATTTGTAATTAAGTGAATGTCACATTAAGTCCTTTTCTCTCTTGTACTAAATTTCAGCTCCTAATCATGGCTGAACCATTACACTGCAGATTCAACCATTTCAAATGAAGTCAGTATTGGATCTGTTGTATATCTGTGTATGTATACACGTGTATTTAATATATTTATTTAAACACACATTAAACACATACAATCTGGGTTGCAGCACATTACACAGAATTTAGAGTCTGATTATATGCTACTCAATTTTACCATTGGAGTTGTGTCCTGAGCTTTGGATCAAAATTTTATTTTAAATCATTAAAAGTCCATTTGCTGCTCAATGAATCTGCTGTTCAAATGAAGCATGCACTTTTCAAAAGACAATGTAACTGACCTCAAAAAGACAAGGAGACCCTGGTGCTTACTGTGAATAGAGCCCTCTGATAAAAAGACTTAGGTAGGTGAAACAGGGAAGCTGTCATACAAGCTTGCCTATCCCAGCTGGGGACACTGAAGCTACTAACAGAGAAAGCAATTAACTCTGGGACTTCTGTCAAATATGATGATAGCTGTTAAAAGCTTGGAAGTAGAAAAGGCCAGTTCAGCTTGATCCATACAAATCAGGGAATGCACTCACAACTGCAATACCCTCAGGTAGTATGCCAACACTAAAACTAGAAAGCATCTCTAAAAAGCACTGTTCCTCCACGGGTGGGAGCTGATATTATGAAGTGCACACACTGTTTTTGGATACTTGTTGCAAGGGGAGCATGTAAAGAGGATTCATGACACTCCAACCTAGATACTGCAAAGTTAACTGGTAAGATTTTTTAAAAACATCACACATACACAAAGCATTTTAAGGGACCCACATATATCTAATATAGCAACTCTGGCTGTTTTTCAAAGTTACCAGGGAAAGGAACTTAAGCTTTCTAAAAAAAAAAACAAAAAAACCCAAAAAAAAAAAACAACCAAAAACTCCTTAGTTTTGATAGATGTCTTTTGAGATTGATGCAGTCATTTAAAGTAAAATAAAGTCAAATGGATGACTGGGGGGGGGGAGAAGGCAGGGGTGGGGGGAAATACAAGAATATGGAAGAAGCAGACACTGAGTTCAGATTTGCACCTGAGGTGGCAAGTGAGGGAAGGAGAAAAGGTACAGGTAAAGTTGATCCTAAAGCGACAAGTGGTTTAAGGAAGCAGCATAAAATACTCAGCAAACATTCACTGATTTTTGATGGGAAAAGAACAGTTGCAAGTACATCTCATGTAACAACCTTTTCTAAAAGGAAAAGTAGGGTTGATTCAGCAAAGCCTAACTTAGGCAAAAGGCCAGAGGAAAGTGAACCTACTTCCCAATGGAGTAATAAGATGTACAATGCAAGAGCAGACACGGCTGCCTCACAAATGGTAAACACTCCCTAGGCACAAGACATTTAAAGGAAGACAAAGAGGTCTTCAGCCCAAACTGGTATTTAACATTTAGACCTCTTAATCTAGTTGCCTAGTTCACTCTGCACTCCTGTATAAAACTGACAGATTTGGGGATGCTGACCTGTTGCAAAACACCACAGCCTAAATGGCCTAAACAGGTATATAGTTAATAAAAACCACCACCATCCTTTACTTTTAACATAGCTCTTAGTAGAAATTTCATAAAAATGGACATCACAGCTAAAATGCATTATTAATTCTCCTATCTGCTGACAATAGAAAAAAAGCAAACTCAGTGATTTCTTTTTAAATGCACTAGATGAGAATGTCATGTTCTCGGGGTGCTCGCCTTCAAACTGAACCCACAGCAACACGCACAAGCAATTTCAGTATCTGCCATTTTAAATTCACAATCTGAGCCTAAGTGAATGGCTATTTTTTAATATTTAAAGCAAAACATTCTATTTGATACCCTAACATAGAGAAGGGGTGAGAGATGAGCCATAACTAAATTAAAAGGCTCAAAGCAGCAATTAAGGGAAAACAAGGAAAAGAAATTTTGAAATGCTTCCTCTAGATGTGACAGGGAGCCTAGGAAGCCTACAGCTGTGTGCATGACATGGGCACACAAGGGCTTGGGTAGAGGCATGAGGCCATGGAGGGAGATTAGGTTGGGGACTGGATCATTCATGAACTGCAGTAACAAAACTCCCTGTTGCAGCTCTTATCAGGACATGGCCTTTAGTCAGAGCTTGACCTTCTTGTGGACAAGAACCCTGATCAAGAGCTGGGAATTCAAGGCATGAGGCCCATGGCCAGCATCAGACATTCCAAAACCAGAAAGGACAAAGTAACCCTTGGAAAGGGAAATTGCAGAGCTCTAGTTAGGTCTTCCAGAGGTGCTAAACCAACACACCTTTTATCCCAACCCCAACCCTGGAAAGATAAAGCAAACTGAAAGAAAATGCACAGCAAATAGACATAATCTTGAAGATTTTTAAAGAATAAATATTTTTTTTGTAATTAAACATTATGCAAACACGTGCCACGCTTGCTTTGTCCATGCATATGCGCTATATACAATTTTGAAAAATACTGTGTTGTCCTCTTGTTTTAAAAGTCATATACAAAGTTTTTTTGTTGTTTATTTAATCCTCTTGCTGCCTACCCCTTCCCCATTCTGAGATTTTCTTTACAGTGAACTAATCATCATTCACTCATGACCTTGGGGTATGAGAGAAAGAGAGTCAGTCTGTGTGTGTGTGGGTGTATTTGTATGTGTAGGGGAGGAAGGAGAAGAGGTCCTTTACCAAAGTACAACAAAATGGCTGGTTGGACATGAAAAGCAGTATCAGGAGCTGTTTGAAATTTTAACTGTACTACACTCAGGAAAAGGAAAAAGAAAAAGGAAAAAAGGAGTCAGCTTTGAGAATGAAGCTACGTTACAAGTTAAAGTTGGAGGGCTTTTAGTGTGTCTGTCACACTTTTGTTGGCGGCCTAGAATACTGTAGTACAATGGTTTATCTACCTTTTTTATTACAATATAATTTACTTAAACTTTCCGTTAACAAAACAGAATTCTGGTACTACAGACCAGCGGTGTCAGAATAGGCTTAGTGCCTCCTTGTTTGTGTTTGTTTTGTTTGTTTTAATTGCATGAGCACTCTAGATGGTAAAGTTTTCAGAGTTCATTTTATGCAGAGCCATTCTCAGTCCTCAATGTATTCCCACAGATCTTTTTCATAGCCTTCATGTACATGCTGTAACAAAACCCTTCGTCGACTCTCACAGTATCTGTAATCAAAGAGAAAAAAACAACTTGTTGTCAAGCCTCCAATAATAAAAAAAAGAGGCATTTACTTATTTTTAAGGCACTCCTACAGTTTATCTAGGCTTGAAACCAAGCCCATTTTTAGTAGAAACTCGTATTTTCAGGACTAGATGTACAGATACATTAAACTGCTTTTAACATTAAAACAGTAATTTTTGAAAGCCAGAATTCCTAGACAGGGGAATTAATTTTAAAGCAATAAAGTGTTAGAAGTTAAGATGGGCCTTAGAAATCATGATTCAGTCTGTAGTTCTATAAATAAATAAACACTTTCAGAAAGAAGTCATTTCATGGGTTATTTATTCACATCTATAAAATCTCTGGTAACTGTACAAGTACTATAAATGTAATATAGTAGCTATATATATATTAGTTAGCAATAAATCTTCAAATCTTCCAAATGTCCAAACTTTCCTCCTACTTTAAAAAGACATTATCATTTTCTAGGAAAAAACTTTAGGGGAAATAGCTTCATGTTGAAAAAATCAAACATTTTGCATCTTCAGCTTAAGAGGTAGCATGTCTTATTTTTTTTAAGGTGATTTTTAATATATATATATATTTATTTATTTTTGAGACAGAGTCTTGCTCTGTTGCCCGGGCTAGAGTGCTGTGGTATCAGCCTAGCTCACAGCAATCTCAAACTCCTGGGCTCAAGCAATCCTTCTGTCTCAGCCTCCCGAGTAGCTGGGACTACAGGCATGTGCCACCATGCCCAGCTTATTTTTTGTATATGTATTTTTAGTTGGTCAATTCATTTCTTTCTATTTTTAGTAGAGATGGGGTCTCGCTCAAGCTGATTTTGAACTCCTAACCTCAAGCGATCCGCCCACCTCAGCCTCCCAGAGTGCTAGGATTACAGGCGTGAGCCACCACACCCGGCCTAAGAAACAGCATGTCTGGAAGCAACATCTGCTCTTAAGACAAAGTAAATCTCTCCTTAGAGATAAAAAAATCTAGTAAAAACTCTAAAAGGTAAATTTCATGGCTCGTTTATCAGTAGCCACAACTCATAGGATTCCCAGGCTAAGACCATCCAATTATCATCCCTCACCCTAAAGGCCACTTGTTCTTTTTGGACTCTTTTTTCCTTGCAAGGCAGCAACTAAACAGTTAAAGCTGAAGAGAAGTAGAATCAGCAGTGGGATAAATGGCTGAATGCCTCCTCTATGCTTGACCAGTACTATTATCCACAATTAGAATCCCAATGGACAGAAGCAATCTGTGAGAAACATGGCAGCAGCTCAGTTACTGGATATGCTAAACCCAGTTTTACTATCACTGAACTTCACTGCTAAGGCATACTAGACCACCATTGGCACAAAGTTTTACTCAATAGCTATTTGAAAAAAATCTTACCTGTACTTATCTTGTACTTTCTGCTTTATATCCTGCAGAGAATCTTGGGAAATATCTCGTTCGAGGTAGCCCGAAAGCACCTCTGTGGCATTCTCTAGATCTGCTTGGTTATTCTGAAAGAAGAATACACAGTAAATTTTGGCTTCAAAGATAAACCTAAAAGATAAAACATTTTAGGTGCTTTGTAGACTATACACTACTCTCAACAATGATTCCATAATTTTCATCAGTGGTTTAACTGCACCTGCAAAGTTCTTTAAAGGCTTTCACCTCTAACAACTTGTTCTTTCTTTACCAGAACAATTTTTAAAATATTAAAAGAGCTAAAGATTCACCCACTACTTTTAGAAGGATACTAAGGACAATCTGAAAGGGCTTAATAAGTCTTTTGGAATCTTCTGGTTCTGTGAACCGCTCTTTGCTAAAAACACAAAGGAAAACTTGAGGAAGAAATAGACACCTATTTCTTTATATGAGAACAATATATGGAAGAGTACGTTTTTATTATCCTTTATTACTGTGGCTAGTTTTGTACATTTTACCCATCTAAATTCCCATCTGCTAGTCAGTCTTATTGTCTAGTCATCTATGGATATCACTTTTAAATAAGCATCTTTCCTAGAAAAAACTTTTATTGCTAAAAGCCTACTTTTAGACATTACTTCTCCATCAAAGGTAAACATCATATTAACTTCTAATACCATAGTGGTTAGTTTTACCCAAATAAAGGCTTTCTTTGAGAACTTATGATGTGTCGGGTACTATATAAATGTATGTCTCCATTTTAAAATAGAGAGAAATAAGATGTTAAGTAATCAACAGAGCCAAAAAGTGATGAAGTAAAGATTAAAATCTAGGGCTAACTCCAGAACCTGCACACTAGCTGGGTAAACCACATCAATCTGACTGTAGCTTAAGACAAAAGAAATAGAAACTTCCTGCATCCTTGTAATATAGTATGTTTACCCATATTTTCCAAACAAAAAAGAACCTCTGAGACTCCATATATCTTATCTATGAAAGATCCAGTAGTCTCATGACACAATCTAGGCTTTTTCCCCATCCAGGAACTACTCCTACCTCAAAGATAATGGACTGGTTATTCTTTTTGAGGTAGAAAGCGAAGACATAAGTGTACATGAGTGTGGCACGACACTGGCAGAGGACATCAACTGCTTTCTTCAGGAACTGCACCTCAATCCAGGACATGTTGTGCTGCTGCATCTCTTCCATTTTCTGCTTCACCTGAGCATACAGTTTGTGCTCAAAGCGTAGACTCTGCATGTGGTTCATATAGCGATTACAGTAGAACAGGTACCTCTGCAGGGCTGCCCTAGATCGCTGTTCCATTAAGAAAAATGAGGTCATGTAATTATAAGAGTTGTACACAAAAGCTGATATCAAATTAAGATCACAATGAGGTATCACCTCAACCCTTTTAGAATGGCTTTACCAAAAACATAAAAGTTAATAAGTGTTCATAAGAATGTAGAGAAAAGGGAATTCTTGTATATTGATGGTGGAAATGTAAATCTGTATAGCCATTATAGAAAATGGTATGAAAGTTCCTGAAAAAACTAAACATAAAACTACCATATGATCCAGCAATCCCATTACTGGGTATATATGCAAAGGAATTGAAATCAGAATGTCAAAGGGATATCTGCACTCCCATGTTCACTGTAGCATTTTTTCATAATGGTAATAGGCCATGGTAATAAGGAATCCATCTAAGCATCCATTAATGGATGAATGGATAAAGAAAATGTCATAGATATACACACACACAGAGGAATATTATTCAGTCTTTAAAAAGAAGGAAATCCTTTCATTTGTGACAATATGGATGAACCCAAAGGATATTATGCAAAGTAAAATAAGCCAGGCACAGAAAAGGCAAACATTGCATGATCTCACTTATATGTAGAAACTAAGAAAGTTGAATTCATAGAAGTAAAGAGTATAATGATGCTGGAGTGGGGAAGAAAGGGAATGAAGAGTTGTTATTCTAAGGATACAAAGTTTCAGATAGACAGGAGAAATATGTTTTAGGATCCATTGCACAGAAGGATGACTATAGTCAATAACAATGTATTGCATGTTTCAAAATAACAAGATTAAATTTCAAATGCCTCACCATAAAAAATAAGCAAGCAAAGTAATGGATACATCAATGATGGATTTAATAATTCCACATTGTATACATATCAAAACATCAAATTATACCCTATAGATGTATAAAATTATGATCTTTTAATTAAAATTAACATTAATTAATAAAGCTGATAAATTTACTGATGAAACAGTATAGTAATTTAAGCTAAAATAAGGAACAGACATCTACTGCTACCTTTGTTAATTTAATATTGCTTTGAAAGTCCTATAATTGTACTTTCCAATACCATAGCCATGAGACAATATGGTTATTTAAATTTAAATTTATTAAAATTAAAAATTCAGTTCCTCAATGCTCAATAGTCACATGTGGTTAGTGGCTACCAAATTGGACAGAAGTGATAGACTATTTCCATCATTAAAAAGTTGTATTGGATAGCACTGTTCTACAGTATGTACTAATGTAAAACAAGAAGGAAAATTATTTTAAGTAGAAAACCATATAGACAACCAGATATCATATAACTCCTGATATACTGCAAAAGAAAGTTCATAGTAATCAATTAAGTGTTACATGTTCCTCTCCCCACCATCAATAAGTCTGAATTTGATCCAGTTTCCTAAATTAACCACCAGTTTCTAGAAATACAGGGATGGAAGACATCATGGATTTGCAATAGCAAAATCCATAATGTGGGAAATTCTATAGGACAAAAGGATATAATGTCCTCAACAAATGATAATGGAAAAAAATGGCAGTGTTGAGAAGGATCTATAGATTAGAACAGACTCAAGAGATATCAATCAAATTCAACTATAGATCTGTGTGGATCCTGGTTTGAACCAATTGTAAAGAAAAATGTGTAAGATTATTTGGGACATCTGAACGCTAGATAGTTGATACTAACAAAGTACTGCTTTAAAATATATACAGTTTGCCTCTGAACAATATGGGTTTGAACTGGAAAACTTTTTGGAAATTTGCAACAATCTGAGAAAACTCCATGAAAAACTATAGCCTGGGTGCGCCCGGGAAACCCCGTCGCTCCCTTTCCCCTGGCTGGCAGCGCGGAGGCCGCACGATGCCTGGAGTTACTGTAAAAGACGTGAACCAGCAGGAGTTCGTCAGAGCTCTGGCAGCCTTCCTCAAAAAGTCCGGGAAGCTGAAAGTCCCAGAATGGGTAGACACAGTCAAGCTGGCCAAGCATAAGGAACTGGCTCCCTACGATGAGAACTGGTTCTACACACGAGCTGCTTCCACAGCACGGCACCTGTACCTCCGGGGCGGCGCTGGGGTTGGCTCTATGACCAAGATCTACGGGGGACGTCAGAGAAATGGCGTCATGCCCAGCCACTTCAGCCGAGGCTCCAAGAGTGTGGCTCGCAGGGTCCTCCAAGCCCTGGAGGGGCTGAAAATGGTGGAAAAGGATCAAGATGGGGGCCGCAAACTGACACCTCAGGGACAGAGAGATCTGGACAGAATTGCCGGACAGGTGGCAGCTGCCAACAAGAAGCATTAGAACAAATGATGCTGGGTTAATAAATTGCCTCATTCGTAAAAAAACAAACAAACAAACAAACAAAAAAAACCAAAAAACAAAAAAAACTATAGCCTGTAAACATCAAAAAACTTAAGAAAAAGGTATGTCATGAATGCATAAACTATATGTAGATACTAGTCTATTTTATCCATTTACTACCAAAAAATATATACAAATCTATTATTAATAGTTAAAATTTATCAAAACTTACAGACACACTTACTTAACAGATCATACATGGTGCCACTCATAGTTGAGGGAAATGTAAACAAATGTAAAGAAGTATTAAATCACAACTGCATAAAATTAACTATAGTACATACTGTACTACTCTAATAACTTCAGAGCCACCTCCTGTTGCTATTGTGGTGAGCTGAAATTGAGAATTGAGAATACTGGCTTAAAACACTGTGGGACACTAATCATACGTGACAAACACGAGTGAGCAGTTCATCTCTCCAGAAAATTGCATACTGCAATAAAAAGTGACATCTCCCAGTTCTTGCACATTTTCATGGAGTTTAGTACAATCCTATAAACCTTGGATAAAACCATGCAGCCCATACAAAGTACCACTATATACTGGAAGTGCTCCTGATAAGCAAAGAAAAGTCATGACATTATAAGAAAAAACTGAATTGCTTGCTATGTACAGTAAACTGAGGTCTGGAGCTGTGGTTGCTTACCATTTCCATATAAATGAATCCAGTGTAAGGACCATTGTAACAGAAGAAAAGGAAATTCATGAAGCCATTGCTGCAGGTATACTAGCAGGCACAAAACTTGTTCTGGGGATACTTTTTATCTCATATGAAAATGTAACTTTATGTGGTGCAGAATTGCTATAAAGAAGGATGTTAGAGTCTTTTTTATAATGTCTAACATGATTCAAGAAAAAATAAAGTCATTCTACAATAATTAAAGCAAAAGAAGGTGAAGGATCTGGCCGGGCGCGGTGGCTCACGCCTGTAATCCTAGCTCTCTGGGAGGCCGAGGCGGGCGGATTGCTTGAGGTCAGGAGTTCGAAACCAGCCTGAGCAAGAGCAGACCCCGTCTCTACTATAAATAGAAAAGAATTAATTGGCCAACTAATAATATAAAAAATTAGCGGCATGTGGCGAATGCCTGTAGTCCCAGCTACTCGGGAGCTGAGGCAGGAGGATTGCTTGAGCCAGAGTTGAGGTTGCTATGAGCTAGGCTGACGCCATGGCACTCACTCTAGCCTGGGCAACAAAGCGAGACTCTGTCTCAAAAAAAAAAAAAAAAGAGGTGAAGGATCTAAAGCTAGAAAATTAATGCCACCAAAGGATGGTTTGATAATTTAGAAAGAAGTTGCTTTTAAAATGTTATGATAAGGGGTGGGGAAAAAAATGTTATGATAACAGAAGCAGAAGCTTCTGCTGACCAAGTGACAGCAGATGAGTCCCAGATGCCATTAAGAAATAATTGAAGAGAGAAGATATCTGTCTGAATAGGTTTTAATGCAGATGGAAGTTCCCTATTCTGGCAGGGCAAACCACTAAGGACATGTTATTATATGAAGAGAAGAAAGCATCAGGATTTAAGGCAGGAAGAAATAGGCTAACTCTATGTTTTATGCAAGTGCAGTTGAGTTTATACCAGGGTGTCTTTATCTATAAAGCTGCTAACCCATGAGCCTTGAAGGAAAAGATAACACTGGCTGCCAGGCTTTTGGTTGTATAACAAGGCCTAGACAGTTAAGAACCCTTTTTCTATGGCCAGGTGCAGTGGCTCAAGCCTGTAATCCTAGCTCTCTGGAGGCCGAGGCGGTGATTGCTCAAGCAGGGTCGAACCAGCCTGAGCAAGAGCGAGACACCGCCTCGCATATGAAGGTATTGAGACTAAAGAAATAAATTGTGGACATAAATCCTCTTGATGCAGACAGAAGAATGAAATTGATGTATGCGTTCTCTCTGACCATACGGTATTATAGAAATATTATACGACCAAATGCCAACTCAAAATGGATGGTGAGCGCTAAGAACTGAGCCTTATAAATGGTCTAGAACGACTCCTAATACTTCAGGAAAACCTATGAAGACTGGAGCGCTAGCTAGAGGTAGAGCAGGCACCAAGAAGTATCTATGATTTGCTGTGAGCGTAGACGGCCGGACGAACAACAGAACTCAGCTTCACTCTAGCCTGGGCAACATAGAGAAGTGAAGCGAGACTCGCGAGTCTCAAAAAAAAATAAAAAAATCACCATCTTGCGATCTAGACTCTTTGGTTCAAGCCATGGGCAATATATCTGATCGTAAGGTCTTCAGATGGCACCAGCAGTCTATATAGTGATATCCGTCTTGCCATAATGGACCAGTAAAATCTATGTAGGTAATACTTCATCTAAATGAGGCTCTCGGCACGCCACGCGAGTAGAAGCCACTCGCCAACTACAATTATAGTAAGCCACGTGCATTGACGAGAGATATGTAGGACGGTCTACTACTTCCCCCAAATCAGGAGTCTAACCACTCAAATTAAAGGTTCATACCATGGTACTCCATGGAATAGGACGTCTCAGCTCTACTGCGCAAGATACACAGAAGAGAACACCAAAGGTCTATAGAGGAAGAAGATACATGACAACGAACTTCATGTACACACCGCGAGCAACATATCTTTCAGCTGAACATCGGAAGGATCACACTCATGAAGATGCCACTG